CTTTATTTGTAGAATACACTAACATACTTTATGTATATATATATATATATATATATATATATATATATATAATATATATATATATATATATATATATATATATATATATATATATATATATATATATATATATATATATATATATATATATATATATATATATATATATATATATATATATATATATATATATATATATATATATATATATATATATATATATATATATATATGTATATATGCATATTACTTATGGAAGATTAGTCTAAACTACATCCACATTATTTTAAAATGAAAATTAAATTTATTTGAAATAATACAGTTTATATTATTTTTATAATATAAATTTATATTATGTATAAAAATAATACATTTATAATATATTTATAAAATAAATAATATATTTATATTATAAATAAAAAAGAAATCAATAGTAACTTTCAAAACAGAAAGATATTGATTATTGATTAGGATTAATAGTTTCCGTTGAAAAAAAAACTCTCTCAATTCATCTCTGACAACACTTAAAAAAATTGGTGCAAAATAAACAACAGACGACCAAACGAAATTATATGAAAATTTAATTTGAATTTAACTTAGTAAGATCTTAGCGAGATTTTAATAAGGTTTGTAGTTTTTTCTCGCATTTATTTCTTATTAAGATCTTAGCAAAATCTTAGCAAGATCTTTTAAGATCTTTTAAGATCTTATAAGATCTTTATAAGTTTTCTAGCTTTTTTTCGTCACTTATTTCTTAATAAGATCTTAATAGGATCTTAATAACTTATTTAAAGAAATATTTCTGACAACTCTTATTAAGATCCTAATAAGTTCTTACTAATCTATGTAAGATGAGAAAGATCTTACAGATCTTAGAAAGATGTGCAAGATTTGTCGCTCTGGGTTATGAAAAACAATGAAGTCATCAATGCGCAAAACAGTTATATAATTTTTAGTAAAGTTAAATCGAAAAGGCTAGCTTTTTTATAGCATAAAAAAATGGCTCTTCTAAAAAGTTGTATGGTAAAAAAAATAACTTGATTATAAACAACTTTTACCGAAACTTTAACCTAGTATTATTTGTGCTTAATGCAACTAAGGCCTGGTACACGTTTTTCCGAACAAAAATATAAGTTTTTTCAATTACAATATATGTAAGTTTTTTTATTAAAAAGTATGACATATTTGGTATGTATGGAAAGATTATTTTAACCACTATTGTGGTATTATTATAATCTGCTAAAAGTAAATCGACTATATTAAATTGTCAAGCATTGTTTTATTTAAAAAAGATGCAGTTTTTAACATAAAGTACCTTGGGGTTGGCAATAGATAAGTCGATGAACTTGATTTTTTGATAAAAGCACGTATTGGTGTTTGTTTCAATGAATGTAATTTGACATTTTTAATCAGACATTATTTGGGAAAATTATCCATGAAAAATAACTTTTTTATGAAAATTGAAGTTACTATTTTCAATACCACACCTAAATGAGTATGTTCAACAATAATGTCACGTTAGATTTAGATAACCTATGATAGTGTTACTTTTTCTACCAAAGTAGTTTTTGCATAAATAATCATAACATTTAGCCCTATTTAAAAAACTGTTTTCGGTATTTAGTATTATTTTTTGAAATACTCGGAACTCGGAATCTTGAAATAATAAATTATTCCATTTAGAGTGCGTAAACAATTAAAAAACAGAGGCGGAATGTTTTATAATTAATTTACATTCAATTCGAATTCTTTGTTTGCATAAATTAAATACAAACAAACAAAAAGTTTTTCGGTTTGCCACTAACAACTAATCGGATTTGCTTTAAATTATCGGCTTTTTTTTTTACGAGTTTGTTTGTTCTATGCTTTAGTTGCATTGAGTGGAAAAGAAGGACATATATATATATATATATATATATATATATATATATATATATATATATATACCAGACAGCAAGCTTACATTGACCCAACGTAAGTTTTAACATTGGCAACTTTATTCCGTTGGGCCAACTTTTAGCCAATGTTTTTTTTCGGCGTATTATTTTCAATTTTGCAAATCGGTTTTTTGCAAATATCGTATTATATTGGGCCAACATTTAACCAATGCTTTTTTTTCGGCGTAATATTGCAATTCTACAAATCGGTTTTTTGCAATTATCGTACTACGTTGGGCCAAAATTTGGCCAATGTAGTTTGGGCTTAATATTTTGCTGTTCTTACATTTATACCGTAGCCAATATTCGGCCAATGTAGTTGCGGATTAATATACTTTAAAATTTGTTGCAAAACACTTTTAAAAATGGCATCGTTTGACAGAATAAAAAAAAGTTTTGATATTATCTTTTCATTCTTTTAATTTATAAAAATAATAAAAAAAAAGGTATATTTATTAATCTTCTAAGAATGTTAAAAGGTTCCTTATAAGAAATAAACTTCAAGAGATTCTCGTGACTTTATGTTTTGTTTTTTTAAATAATGAAATATTTGTTAACACTTAAACGTAATGCTTAAAACATTTTTTACTACAATCTAAAATATTAATGTAACAATAAAGGCAATAATCATATTATTTTTGTGTAAGATCTTAAAGTTATTTTTTTATTTTTATTGCTGTATTGGCATTTCAAATGTTTGATTTATTTAATAATCTTTATTAAATAAATGAAATATTTTAAATGTTTGATTTATTTAACAAAGAAGACATTTTGAATGTCTTCTTTATTATATAAATCAAAAATTTGAAATGTCACACAATATAAGTTTTTTTTTTCATAATTTATTTATAATAGTTTAGATTATATAGCTATTATAAAATATATTATTAAAGGTATCAATAATACATATGTGGCATTGAAGTTATTAGAAGCTGATATTTTACATTTTAAGTATGTCTCTTTTGTTTGATTTTTTCTGTGTTTGATTGTGAAACCCCATCTACTAATACATTAAAACTGTACAAAAAGTAATGTTACTAGAATTTATATTCTACTTATGTAGAGCTTTCTAATATTGCTAGACATTTTATTTTAAGACCAATGACTAGCTTATAATAATTAATTGAATTATGAGATTAAATCAATAAAAAATCATTAAAAAAGGTAAAGCTAAAGTTACGCAGCCTAAAATAATTCTATTTTTGCGCTTGTTGTGCCAGAGGGTTTTGCTACATCAACTATCTTATAGCCTACTGCTACAAGGAAGTGCTGCTTCATCGAATGAAGGTTTGGCATGGGGTAGCAATCTTTTTTCACTTTATTATTTCAATTATATTCCTATTGTTTGTAAAGCCTCTACTGACAAGCGGAAAAATAAAATTATTTTAGGCTGCGTAAGTGTAGGATTACCATTAAAAACAATTAAAATAAAAAAACTCAATTTAAATCATTATTTTTATTTGTCTGATTTAAGTCATGATTTAAATCGAAACAACCCTTTATATATTCCATCTTTCTGAGGCAGAAGGACATTATTCTTGGTTTTATTATTTTTTAATTTAATATCTCTGGATATTTTACATATTTAGTGTGCGTACAACAGTTAACAACTTTAATCTTATACATTAACTTAAGTTATAACTTAATTATTAATGATTTGATTTACAGATTTTTAAAGCAATACAAGATTAAATTAGGCAGAAGGCTAAACTTCTGCTTTGGAGAAAAAAAAGGAAGACAGCGAAAATGACAAAGAGACAAAAAATTGTGTATATCTTGGTGTAAATGATTTATCCTCAATTTCTTATAATAAAACAAAAACTATTATAAAACTTTGGGATTTACCTGTACCTCGAAACTCTTTACAGAAGTTCAATGTTTCCTCTAAGAAGTTGAATGAACAATATTTATTAAATGGTAAGTTTTTATATAAAAGTCTTTATATCTGATGATTGAAAATCTTTATTCATAGCTTTAACTTTTACAATTTTAAAGACTTTCAAATATTACGGTCAAAAAGTCAGAATGTTAATTAACATTTTATTGTGTAATAATCAACATGTCAAAACTTACACCACAGACTTGCTCAGGAAGCAGGAGCGATTGCTTTCGAATACTGACCACAGAAAATATATTTAGTTGCAAAAAACTGGCCAGATTTTTTAGTTGTTTTGAGAACATTTAAGTTTATGAACGTAATAAAAATATTTTGTTGGATTTCGAAGTTGGTGTCACCAACATTGAAAACTATTTGAAACCAAATGTTGAAAAAAACAACAGTATTTGTATTTATATTAGTATTCATATTAGTTTAAAGTTTTAACAGTTGCTGGTGATTCAATATTATTCATTATATAAACGTTTATTTAAATTTATCTAATAGACGAAGGTAATACAATATTTTTATAGATGATATTATTTTTAAAAATAGTGTTATTAAAATTCAGAACTAAAATATGTAAAAAAAATTATTTACAAACACTAGACAAGGTACCTTGTAAGTCTGTACAAACACTGTACCTTGAACATCTGGAAAATTTGTTAATATTGGCTAAAGTCGTGGAAATCCTGAAAAAGTCAGGACATTATTTTTTTCTTTAGATAGTCATGGAAAAATCAGTAATTCTAGTTAAGAAGTTACTATTTTCACAGATGAACGCTGTATTTTGAAAATGGAATGAGTCACACCTTTTTTAAAAGTGAGGTTATTTGAAATAATATTTTCAAAAAAATATTCTTTTCAAATAACCTCACTTATAATAAAAGAATATTAAGGTAAAATAAAGATTTTTTTAGATAAAATAAAGATTTTTTTAGATAAAATAAAGATTTTTTTAGATAAAATAAAGATTTTTTTAGATAAAATAAAGATTTTTTTAGATAAAATAAAGATTTTTTTTTTGGAAAAGAAACAATTTTTAGATAAAATAAAAATAAAATTTTTGACAGAAGAAATATTTTTTACTCCCTTGTAAAACTTTAATTTTGTGACTTGTCACATTTTCAAAATACAACGCTCAATTAAGCTATTATGTTTTTTTTGATGCTACCCATTTATTTTTTCTGAAACTTATGTTTTTCTTAGTGTTCATTCTTAGTCATCATTAAAGTACAACTTGGTAAACTACAAAACACATCAAATTCAGTTATAAAAATTTGAGTAACAAAGGTATGCGAATTATTGTATTGACTGAAAGAGTGTCATTGCTATTAAAAGCAGTGAAGAATTCAATACTCTGGAAGAAAAGAAAATACGTAAGTAAATCGTAAATATTTTTTTATAATTTTTTTATGCATTTTGTATGATATCTTAATACAATTTATATACTTTAAATAAAATACCCTTTGAAGATTTTGTTTAAATAACATTTTATATTAATTTAAGTCTAAACAAAAGTTACTTTAATTATTGCCAGGTTGTGTATTTTTGCTGGTCAATTATTTGGCACAAATCGGAGTTAAAGACAAAGGAGTATATTTTATTTGCTAAGAATAGTTTTTTAAAATGGCCTAGTTGTAAAATTAAACTATGCAGGGAGAGGACAAAAAATTGGAATAGAAAAAATGTTGATTGCATATGCTGCTATTGGTAAGTGGTTTAGAAAAGTTTATTTTTTCAGTTTTACAGATGTTTCTTTGGTGCATAATTAAACAAACAACAATTTTTTTTTTTTGCAGAAACTGTGAAGTCAAATAAGCATGGCTTATGCAGACATGTGATAGAGATAGTGGAAGAAAAAATAATAATCGTGGGCACCAAATATCATAAGCTAAACACTATTCAATAACAACTACCTCAGCCAATATTGAAACTACTCTATAAATTTTATAGTGAATTTTTTTATTTAAAACTCAATGTGTCAGTTTTTTATTTAAGTTTGGTGTTTGCAATATGTATATCTAACCAATAAATTATGTTAAATAAATAAATTTTTATACTTGTATCATGCATTCTTTTTTTTCTCTATAAATTTTCAATGTAGCGATGCAAATCATCTTAATAGTAACAACGATCTAATGTTGAATAAAACGTTAGGCCAATATATAACATACGATATTGGGCCAATGTTGTATACAACGTTAGGCCAATTTTGTATACAACGTTGGGTCAATGTTGTATACAACGGTGGGCCAATGATGTATATAAAATTGGCCTAACATTATATACAACGTTCGGCCAATGTTGGGTAAACATTGTATACAACATTAGGCCAAAGTTGTACACAACATTGGGCCAATACCTAACCAATGATCAAACCTGCATTGGGCCAACGTCGACTTTCAACGTTGGGCCTATGCATCAACATGCATTGGCCCAACGTTTGTCCAATGTAAGCTAGCTGTCTGAGATATAAATATAATAATGCAGCATATATGTTTTATCAAATAATAAAATACTTTTATCTTAAAAATAAATAAGTAAACCCAAAAAAATAAATTTTTCATTTTTAAAGTTTTTAGTGCACCCTTAAGAAGCTATTTATCTTAGTAGAACTCTAAATTTTTTTCGGGTGACAGGTATTTAGCGTTGCTACACAAAAAGTCAAATACAATTATGGTTGGGTGCCAGTAAGTTAGATATAATGACATCGGGTTTTTTTAATTCTCCCTTTCATCTGAGCGAGAGGAAGAGAAAAAAAGTGTTTTCCAAGCAGCATATTAAAATTAAAAAAAAACGCAATAAATTATTGAAACTGTTTTTATTATGTTACAAGTAAATAAAATTATTTTTTACCTTTGTTAAAAGTTATTTTCTAACGAGTCTTAATTACGCTTCAGCCTCCCTCTAACAGTTAAATCACGATTAATAGAGTTAATTTCAAATCTTAAACTTACGAAATTAAAACCATGTTTCAACTGCAAGCAAACTAATCAAGTGATAAAATAGGCAACAACAACAACAAAAAAAGAACATAATTATGTTTAAAATCATAAAAAAATTTAAAATCATTTAAATTTAAAACTTTAATTAATTTTTACTATAATTAGAAAAATTCATACTTGGCTTTTACTTTATTATATTTTTAAATATATAAAGTAAAACCAAATTAACAGACATTACCACTGCTTGAAACTAAATTTTGAAAAGTACGTTTTCTGCTTGCCGACCAGCATTTTTTATGCCTAGATCTATCTCTTTCGTTTGACAACAACTAGCTTAAAGTCGCTTATTGGCATAAACATTAATAAATTTTTCGAGCCTAATAATTTTTACTTGAATTTCACTATTTTCACTATCATTAAATATATTACCAGTATTATTACTTTTATTACAACTGAATAAAAAATAAACGTAAAATAATCTTAAAAGTTGTGATCTTTTCCAATCAAAGAATATATTTCAACTTGAGATTTATTAAAATCCAGATCTTTTTATATTTTTATATATGAGTTGTTTATCAAAAATATAAAACAACATTTATTTACACGAATAAATTTTAATTTAATATAGAATCTAGACTACAATGCACAAAATTATTTATTTTATATACAAAAAATATAATTACCTTAATAAACTAAAATAATAAACGCACATTCTTGTTTAAAAAATAGGAGTAATGTCAGCATAATTTACTTTAAAGTTATTACATATATATGTATATTTATATATATATATATATATATATATATATATATATATATATATATATATATATATATATATATATATATATATATATATATATATATATATATATATATATATATATATATATATATATATATATATACATATATATATATATATATATATATATATATATATATATATATATATATATATATATATATATATATATATATATATATATATATATATATATATATAAAATAATAAACGCACATTCTTGTTTAAAAAATAGGAGTAATGTCAGCATAATTTACTTTAAAGTTTACATTCCATTGAAAAGTATTAAAACACTTTAAACAATAAAATATAAAAAACATTTTTTTCAACTACTTGCAGCTGGGGTAGATTAGAGGGGTACCATGGAAACCCCTCTAATTGCGCAACTGTTAATCCAATATAAAATAAAAAAATAGTAAACTTTATCAAATCAGTACAAGTTGTATTGTTTTAAAAGTTTTTATTATTATTCTTTCTATTAAAAAAAAAATTACAATTGAATTGAAGTGACAAAGAACTTTTTAGCTGTTTTTAATAGCTCTAAAAATAGCTTTCAGCTCTTTCCAATTGCACTAAAAAGAAAACTAGCTTACTAAGTTGCTTAGCGAAGGTCAGGTCAGGTTTTCCTGCTACTGGTAACATGTAACCCAGTACAACCTGCTCCATGTCCTGCTGCCTTGTAGGATACGCTTTTTTAGGCAAAGGCTAGGAGAAGTTAACTCCGAATTAAAACACCCCCTGCCTTGGGGCTCTTGGTTGAGTAAAGGCTAGAGATGGTGTCTCGATAAAAATACTCATCTTGGGCAGATGTTACATGCATCCAGCTGCTGTCTTGTAGAAGGCCTCCTAGGCAAAGACTTAAGGGGTAAACAGATTCTATCTGTTGACCAGCCTCGCACCCCTTCCTCATCTATTAGGCTGGCGCAAATGTATTTTTAATACATTGTTTCCAGTTTAGGATGTTGAACGCTGAATCTTTCTGACTCAATGCGAGGGTATTGCTTGTGTCTCTATTTTTATGACTGGGCAACTCATTCTATTATCTCCTAATGAGGGTACAGCTCTAAAACTCAGTTTAATGGTTCTGAGGCCGGCTGGTAGTCAGGTTTCCCGAACTCTGTGGTAGCTCTCAGAGAGGCTGATTCAATCAACAGCCGAAAAATATCAGAGTACTAACAGTGCCATGTTGCGCATGGATGGTGTCCCTGTTTGTACTTTTGGTGTGCATTGCAGAGGCCACATTTGGAGCCCTTTGTTACGGCTCAGGGTTTATTAATAGTAATGAGGCTATTGCTTAGTTATTAAATAGTGTACTGAGTACTATCTATACTTGAGTAAAGTTCTTTATAAATTTAAAATGACTAAAGTACCTAAAACTAAAAAACACAAAAAACCATCGTCATCACCAAGTTCTCTAAACCTATTATTTACTAATATTCGTGGTCTTCGAAGTAACTTTTCTTCTGTTGAGTCTTATAAAGTTCACCAGACCTACTTGCTCTTTGTGAGACTAATTTGAGTTCAGCTGTCCCATCTTGTGATCTTAGTGTTGATGGTTATCTTCCTTTAATTCGTAAAGACTCTAATAATCACATGCTTGGCCTGGGCATCTACATTCGTAAGAACTCACCCATTTGTCGTGAAACTAGGTTTGAATCTACAGGCTATTCACTTATGTGCTTTCGTTTAGCACAACTTCACCCTATCGCCTTTCTCTTTGTTCTATATCGCTCTCCTTCATCCCAAGATTGCACTATTCTTGATGTTATTTCTGATCAAATTGACCAAGCCCTCTCTCTTTACCCATCGGCCAATATCGTCGTTGTTGGTGACTTTAATGCCCATCACACCGATTGGCTTGGCTCTAGTGTCAGTGACTCTGCTGGCGTTAAGGCCCTCAACTTTTGCCTTTCTCAATCTCTAACTCAAATAGTCAACTTTCCAACTCGTTTTCCAGACAACCCTAATCATTTACCTTCTCTACTCGACTTATGTCTTGTTTTGGATCCTAGTCAGTGCTCAATTTCTCCACATTCACCCTTAGGTACTTCTGATCACGGTTTGATCTCTCTAAAACTATTATCAAATTCTTCTACTTCATCAGAATCCCCCTATCATCGTACCACATACAACTACCTTAAAGATGACTGGGACTCTTTCCGTGATTTTCTTCGTGATGGCCCTTGGGTAGAAATCTTTCGTCTACCTGCTGACAAATGTGCTTCTTACATAACTTCGTGGATTCAGGCTGGCATGGAATCTTTTATTCCCTCTCGACGATTCCAGGTCAAGCCTCACTCTTCTCCTTGGTTTTCCTCACATTGCGCTGCAGCAATTTCTAATCGAAACCGTTACTTCCATATCTATCAACAAAACAATTCTCCAGAAAACAGACATCTGTTCACTATCGCCAGAAACCATTGTAAAAAGGTTTTGTCTGACGCCAAAGCTCGCTTTTCCCAGGTCATTAAATCTCGTATCTTATCACAAAAATTAGGCTCTCGAGACTTCTGGAGAATCTTTAACAGTATCAATAATAAGGGCAAATCTGTTATTCCTTCTCTCTTGTATGGTTCAGACTTTGTCACCTCACCTAAAGACAAAGCCGAATTGTTTGCTAAGAACTTTTCATCAATATCATCTCTTAATTCCACTAGTTGCGTTTTACCTGACATAGCCGTCAAACAGGTTGATCCCTTGCTTGACATTCGCATCACTTTAGCTTCTGTATCTAAAGTAATTTCCTGCTTAGACTCTTCAACAGCTTGTGGTCCTGACAACATTCCTGTTGTAGTCTTGCAGAGGTGTTCTCCGGAGCTTTCATCCATACTTTCTAAACTATTTAACAAGTGCTTATCAGAGTCTTGTTTTCCATCATGCTGGAAAGCAGCATCTGTTATCCCTATTTTCAAAAATTCTGGAGAGCGATCTGATTCATCTAACTACCGTCCCATTAGTCTTCTTCCTGTCATAAGCAAGGTTTTTGAATCTTTAATCAACAAACACTTAATCTCTCATCTTGAATCAAAAAACTTACTTTCTGATTATCAATATGGATTTCGGTCTTCTCGTTCTACAGCTGATGTGCTAACAGTAATAACCGATAGGTTTTATCGCGCATTAGATAGAGGTGGAGAGGTTAAGGCTATCGCACTTGACATTTCTAAAGCTTTTGATAAAGTTTGGCATGCTGGTCTTCTCCATAAGCTTTCTTCTTATGGTGTAGCTGGTAACGTCTTTAAGATTATTGAGTCCTTTCTTTCCAATCGTAGTATAAAAGTTGTCCTCGATGGACAACACTCTTCTTC